CACGAGGTAATTATTCTAAACCTAATTCATTATTCTCTTTGAACGTGTTTTGTCAGCATAAAATTAGATAATTAGTTTGATGTTCAAAGCTTTGAGGAATTGTATATGTCTTACTCACATACATTTGAAACTAACTTGTTGCCAGTTAGGCTGTTGCGGTTCAGGGTTTAAAACACTAATTACGAGTAATTAGGATGATGTATATTTATTATTATTATTATTATTATTATTATTATTATTATTGTTATTATTATTATTATTATTATTGTCATTATTATTAAGCAAGTTGTAATATTATTTTTTAACATGTTGTAGTATTACTACAGACTGCGTTTTTTTTAAATCAATGCCATGCGCTGCACTTGCTGTACCGAGGAAGAAATGAACATTTCACTAAGAGGACAAGACGTTTCATTATTCAACACAGAACAGGCGTCATCAGTTGTTTTACACTAGTGGAGCTTTTGAGGAGGAGATCAGAGCACATATGAATCTGTCAGTGATGTGATGAAAATCCGTTCTAAACGCTAATCACTAATTACTCTACGGTTTGAAGTATTGAAACATCCAGTATACAGCACACACTTGGCACTATCGGACGTTCACTTGTTTGGTCCATTGAAAGAATATTTGAGGACTCCGAGATTTGCAGACTAGAACGGGGTGATGTCGCTGGCGTAAACTTGCTTACTGGCCACACCCTAAAGCTTTTATCTGGTACTCATCCAGTCTTGTGGATCGGCTGACTACATTTGTGCCAGGCAGGGAGACTTATGTCGAGAAATAAGACAGACAACAATTTTCGTTCCGGACGCTTTGGAATAAAATTTATTTTTGCAGTTCTTCTTCTTCTCTTCTTCTGCCGTTCAATCAACCAACTCACGCCAAGTCGTTCTATCCTTCGGCATTACATGGAGCTCACCCCATGTCCTCCCAATCTTTCTGACTTCATTCTCCAGCTCTCTTCTCTATGTGTTTTTTGGCCTCCCTTTATTCCTATGCCCTTGTGGGTTCCAATGCAAAGACATTCTAGGCATTGCAATTGGCTTTACTTAATGAATTCACCTCGTATTATTCAGTATATGTGAGCTTGACTCCCAGGTCGATGTGGTCTAAAGTGGGGCTTTGAAAATCAGTTCCAGGAATAAGCTGGTTAATGATGTTAATTCCACCACCCACCCAGTTCCTAATGGGTCTACATGAGTCTAGCGTCACCAGTTCCCAATGGGTCTACATGAGTCTAGCGTCACCAGTTCCCAATGGGTCTACATGAGTCTAGCGTCACCAGTTCCCAATGGGTCTACATGAGTCTAGCGTTCCCAGTTCCCAATGGGTCTACATGAGTCTAGCGTCCCCAGTTCCCAATGGGTCTTCATGAGTCTAGCGTCCCCAGTTCCCAATGGGTCTACATGAGTCTAGCGTATTATGCCCTTTACGCTACTATTATTAACAGGGTCCTTTACTTTTGTCAATGTTTAATCTTGTAACATTATGTAGGGAACAGAGGCATGGCATTGACTGAAGGTTAAACAATGGATCAACACCAGGGCACTAGGGTAGTAACCCATAAGTGCTCCGTTCTACTTCTAATTCAAGCCCGAGTCTGAAGGTTCTCAGCATAGTGCACGAACTCCGTAGCACAGGCGAGGATTCTGAAATACTTTGGGTAGATTTTCAACTCCAAATTTTGGCCAGGCACGCCGTTAGACACCTCTCTTTTAGTTCCAACTGCCAAGGGATTTTTTTACGTGCGCAACAATACACACGGGCATCCGATCTTACTACACAGAGACCAGGGAAAATTTACTTTCTGCTTTGTAATTGTTGGCTTTACTGGTTTGTGTTCGTTAACTTATCACTTTGTAATTGTTGGCTTTACTGGTTTGTGTTCGTTAACTTATCACTTTGTAATTCTTGGTTTTACTGGTTTGTGATCGTTAACTTATCACTTTGTAACTGTTGGCTTTACTGGTTTGTAATCGTTAACTTATCACTTTGTAATTGTTGGCTTAACTGGTTTGTAATCGTTCACTTATCACTTTGTAATTGTCGGTTAACTAGTTTGTAATCGTTAACATCACTAGTTTGTAATCGTTAACATCACTTTGTAATTGTCGGCTTAACTGGTTTGTAATCGTTAACCTATCATTTTGCAATTGCTGAAATTACTTGATTGTGATTGTTAACTTATCACTTTGTAACTGTTGGCTTTACTAGTTTATAATCGTCAATTTTTTTAATGTATAATTGTTGATCTATTACTGTTAACTAAGTGATAACTGAGTGCCAGAAAATTTCACAGAATATGCCAAACTGCACAAAAAAAAAAAAAAAAAAAAAACACACACACACTAGGAAAACCATACGTATTAAGGAAGTCACAGACTCCCCCCCCCTTCTTCTCCTTCTTCTCTTCTTCTTCTTCTTCTTCTTCTTCTTCTTCTTCTTCTTCTTCTCTTCTCCTTCTCCTTCTCCTTCTTCTTCTTCTTCTTCTTCTTCTTCTTCTTCTTCTTCTTCTTCTTCTTCTTCTTCTTCTTCTTCTTCTTCTTCTTATTTTACTTCTTTTGTTCTCTACTTCTTTTGGGCATTAACTTACCATTATTTCATATCTGCTGACACATTTGTAATTATCCAATGACCACATTGAGGTGGCTAATTCACTACTTTGTGATTGTTGACTGCCGATATGATGGTCTTGAGTTCGAATCCGCTTTGAAGCAGATTTTGTTTTCAAACTTGACCTTGACTTCTAAGTAAATTCAGCGTTAAAAAATGTGCCAGGCAGTGTCATGGGAAGTTAAGGTGGCCAGCGTGGCAATAACTGCATCACGCACCTGTGCCAACTGGCATATCCAAATATGAGTTGTACATCAAGTGACCAGTACACTATCGAACTGAAAGGGGTCTCATGTACTTTGTTTACTGAACTGTTGACTTACCACTTTGGTAGCCAATGACGAAGCCAGTCAAAATGCCATTTGGTCTTTCTGGAGGCAGCCAGCGAAGTGTGACACTCTCGTGTGTCACAGAATCTGCATAAAGACCCTGCACAGCGGTAGGAGCTGCGGAGGATAGAACAAAAGTAGAACTGTAATACAGTTTTAGAACAACTCAGTTTACAAAGAGTGCTTGCTGATAAAGGAAATAACGAACCTTCTGTAAAGTGAGTTTTCTTTTGATAGGATATATGTTTATTGGAAAAAAAAAAATAGTAGCAGAAGGCTTGGTACCAGGAAGAAGGGACAGAGGCCGACCAACACAAAGATAAGCACATGATATAAGTGACTCCTTGAGTATGAAATTACATGAGGTGGGAGAGCTGGCGAGAGACCGAGTTTCTTTCGTGATGAGAGCGATGTTCTGCAAAGGACCTGCTACACGATGAATGTTTATCCCGAGGAGCGGTTGGCCAAACGGTTGAGAACTTGGGGCTCTAATGTAGAAGAACAGGGCTCGAAACTTTAGCCAGGTTGTGGAAAAAAAAAAAAAATCCGAACCTGCACAGTGGTGGCGACAGCACTAGCCACGCGACCCTGAATCCTCAGGCTCAACGATCCCCACCTTTGCCTACACACCTCAAGTGGTAAATCACGACCGGCTCTAACTGACGGGCCCTGCTGCTGACGTCACCGGGTCGGGCTAATATGCGGTAACGCAGCGGGTCTCAAACAAGAAATAAGCTATTTTCGACAGTGGCCAGGGGAGATAACTTAAATTTTAACTTTTATGGGCTATCCTCTGAATAACGGTCCCAAATTATCGAGGCCGAAAATATACCCTAACAGGGCCTCAGTCACATGTCAATTGCGGACTTCCAGGGACTATACCGCCACCGCCGAATTGCGAACTTCTAGGGACTATACCGCCACCGCCGAATTGCGAACTTCCAGGGACTATACCGCCACCACCGAATTGCGAACTTCCGGGGACTTTACTGCCACCGCCGAGAGTATCTCTCAAGCCGCTACGTGGATTGGGGCTCAACTAGATGGCTGAGACTCACGAGCAAACAAAATGAAGGAAACTGCAGGAGATGCGATAGCTGCTGCTGGCGTCCCAAGCTCAGTCACAGGTTCAGTCCCAGGCTTAGTCCCAGGCTCAGTCCCAGGCTCAGTCCCTGTTTCAGTTCAAGGTTCAGTCCCAGTTTCAGTCCAAGGTTCAGTCCCAGTTTCAGTCCAAGGTTCAGTCCCAGTTTCAGTCCCAGGTTCAGTCCCAGTTTCAGTCCCAGGTTCAGTCCAAGGTTCAGTCCCAGTTCCAGTCCCAAGTTCAGTCCCAGTTCCAGTCACAGGTTCAGTCCCAGGTTCAGTCACAGGTTCAGTCCCAGGTTCAGTCCCAGGTTCAGTCACAGTTTCAGTCCCAGGCTCAGTCCCAGGTTTAGTCCTAGGCTCAGTTCCAGGTTTAGTTCCAGTTTCAGTTACAGGTTCAGTCACAGGTTGAGTCACAGGTTCAGTCACAGGTTCAGTCATAGGTTCACTCCTGGTTCAGTCCCAGTTTTAGTCTATGTCTGTCTTCTCGGCTTTGAAAGTCACAATCTGTTATATGCTAACTTTGGCATCTGTTTAAAAACAAATGTCTGGTCGATGTCTCAGTGAAGAGTTCTGTCACAGGAATGGTGCATATTATTATGTAGTGTCTAAACAAGATAACCTAAAAACATTACTTACAGTTCTACTGAAGTCTAGTAGTAGCTGCAATAGACGTAGTAGTTCGAGGATGCTTCAAATGAAAACCGGAAAAGCTTGATAGAAATTACAATAACCAAGCCATTGTCTTGTAACCTGTCAATATTGTGCTTGACACTCTTGGCATCCTGACAACATACTGATTGGTTACAAGACAATAAGTGGCATGGCTTTCGCAATTTCTATCACACTTTTAAGATTGTTATTTGAAGAAGTAGGGACAGTGAGAGGAGGAGGAGATAAAAAGAAGACGAAGATGATGATGATGATAAAGAACGACAATAACAACAAGAACCAGAAGAACAAGAGAATACTTACTTCCTTCTGGAGTGAAAACATCAATTGTTTCTCCCGGAGGTCCCTGGTAATGAGTGTTGATCACTACCACTTGCACTTTAATAACGGAATATGCCGGAAGGTCAGATATAGAACCTCTGACCTCTTGTCCCACTTCTACTGGAGAACCCGTCAAGGGAATATAAACATCATTCTTGACCTTGTTTTCGGAATCCCACTTCCAGTAGAGAATCTATAGGAGAAAATAACAGAGGATCCCATAACAGGGAATTTGTTAGAGAAAATAACATGGAATCTCACTTATAACGGAGAATTTGTTAGATAAATAACACTGGATCCCACTTATAAGAGAAATTTTGAAAGAAAAAACATAATGGAATATCAATTTTGGTTGATAATCTGATCCTTTTCGTATTGTTCACTCCATCTAGTCAACATGAGATTTCGTGGTAAGTTCACTGGAAAGTCGCACAGTATAGGGGTGTTAGGGTGTGAAATAAAATGTACACCGACTAACACTAACCCTAACCCTAACCCCCCTTTAATATTAGACTCTCCCGGAAACTCCCCACGAAATCTCAGAGTCCGCGAGATGGTTTCAACAAATAAAAAAGTATCGATAATCTGCAAGAAAAAACTACATGTCAGCAAATAAATTAATAAAAAGGATCCTTTTTTCCCGAGGGCACATCGGGCACATGAAAACAGATTCCTATTTTTGTAGTGGTCAGGTCTTGGTCAGATACGACTGAGCTATTTTATAACCATAGTAAAGTAAAAGTAAAGGACCCTTTTCCACGCCTTTCAGGCGTATTGGGCTAGACCTATATTCTATAGACATAACAGCACTTGATTGGTGCTGTGGTCAGCATCACACCAGCTGTCCTTTCTTCCCAGGACTGTACTTGGTACCCACTCAAGGCTGGGTCGACTTGGGAGCCAAGGTCATTTTTGAAAAGAGTCCGGCCCCCGTCAAGAACCGAACCCACGACCTTCCGATCCGCAGATGAGCGTCACGCCGCTAGACCACGATGGCTCCCTAACCATAGTCGGTACCATCTGTTTTCTCCCTAACCATAGTCGATACCATCTGTTTTCTCCCTAACCATAGTCGGTACCATCTGTTTTCTCCCTAACCATAGTCGATACCATCTGTTTTCTCCCTAACCATAGTCGGTACCATCTGTTTTCTCCCTAACCATAGTCGATACCATCTGTTTTCTCCCTAACCATAGTCGGTACCATCTGTTTTCTAACGCCAAGTTTCACGTGGTGTCTACCAATCTTAACATCCCACACTGTGAAAACGGATTCGTGCGAAAGAATCCTTTAGAGAAAGATACTAGCCTTATCCTAAGAAGAGGTAATGTAACCCGAAATCGTCATCTTATGGCAGGGCAGACCAAACCCTTTGTCTTGTCTGCAGCTTCTGCGGCGTGCCTTGTTTCAAAATGTATTAGTGTATAGACAACCATTGATGTATTTGGATTTCAACCCACTACCTTCAGATCTTCAGGCAAGCATTTAGCCGCTACATCACGGCGGCTTCCTTTACTTTACTAATGTTTCTAAATCCTCCTTGACAAAGTGCCAGGGTAGCTCCAGCCCAAAGGACCAACTCCGTAGCTTTTGCAAGTAAAGTAACAGTTGAAATACAGAGCCTCTGCCAAGTCAGTGGCGCATCAGGCATACGTGATACTATAAGTACATTTTTGTAGAGCAAATGAGTGTTGTGATCAATATCAGGCCGGCCGCTTTGGCAAAGATTCTTACAAAAAATTATTTGTGCAAACACCCTATCCCCCACGCGCAAACACATACAGACAGACAGACAGACAGACCGTCAAACAGACAAACAGACAGACAGACAGACAGACAGACAGACAGACAGACGGACGGACGGACGGACGGACGGACGGACGGACGGACGGACGGACGGACGGGCGGGCGGGCGGGCGAACGGGCGGACGGACGGACGGACGGACGGACCGACCGACCGACCGACCGACCGACCGACCGACCGACCGACCGACCGACCGACCGACCGACCGACCGACCGACCGACCGACCGACCGACCGACCGACCGACCGACCGACAGAGATAGATAGATAGATAGATAGATAGATAGATAGATATAGATAGATAGATAGATAGATAGATAGATAGATAGATAGATAGATAGATAGATAGATAGATAGATAGATAGATAGATGGATGGATGGATGGATAGATAGATAGATAGATAGATAGATAGATAGATAGATAGATAGATAGATAGATAGATAGATAGATAGATAGATAGATAGATAGATAGATAGATAGATAGATAGATAGATAGATAGATAGATAGATAGATAGATAGATAGATAGATAGATAGATAGATAGATAGATAGATAGATAGATAGATAGATAGATAGATAGATAGATAGATAGATAGATAGATAGATAGATAGAGACAGACACATGGAGAGGGAATTCGATACTTGGAGGATCGATTTTACCGCACTAAAGAATTCACAAGCCGCCCTGGGAATCACCAGATGGCGTGACAGAAACCTGAGAAACCAGTCATGATTAACGGCGAATAAAGGCACTCCTTTACGACCCGGAAGTTAAAACTACTTGAGAATACGAGGTCACTATCACCTAATCTTGGAAGAAATTAACAGACAAAAGGAAATGATACGCCGCATCGGAAGAAAACATTCACATTCTTAGGAACACTGTGAGCACCTGACAACTGGAGAATGTCTTGTTAGTTGTGTATCTTTTGCAGGTCGTTGCAGAACCGAACCCAGAATGCTTTTTTTAAAAAAGTTTGCAACTGCCACAAAACAGTCAGATCTCGATACCACTGTCAAAATCAACGAAAAGCGGTGTGCTGCCAGATTGTCTGCATCTGGAACCGAAACCGGGACCTGGGCATTACGAAGCTCGTTCCCAAAGCCTAAGGGTGAATAATTTGAGTAAAAAAAAAGTAGAGGAAAGAAGAGGCAGAGAGAGACCAAGAGAGAAGATTTTCAAGTAGGATTCACTTCGTAGAATGAAAGAATACCATATATAAAATATTGTCTATGCACGTGACAGAAAAAAAAAAAAAAAAAGCTCTGCACCGCGTGCAAGCGGGGAATAAATGATACCGGAATTGAGGCAGATTCGTTGGAACAAAATACCATGGATTGCGTTGCGTGGAAGAGGGATATCAGAAAGGGAATGGGAATACAGGAAAACATGACCTGCAGGGAGGCTGAGAGCTGAGCGCCAGAGAAGAAAGATACCAAACACATCTAATGGCAACGGCGATCTTGAAAACACTGGCTCTAATTGTGGTATAACTTTCTTAACAAATACGGGTCTTACTAGTCACACTAGCCACCGCCATGGCATGTGATTCCTATGCTTCGCCATAGCACATTATCGTCTAGAACAGTGACTCTCAACATTCCCAATATCGCGACCCTTAAATACAGTCCCGTCATGTTGTGGCGACCCCCAAACAGTTATTTTCCTTCATAACTTCAACGAATGTGTGTTCTCCAATGGTCTTAGGCAACCCATGTGAAAGGGTCGTTCGACCCCCCCCCCCACACCCCCCCAACAAAAAACAGTCGCGACCGGCAGGTTGAGAACCGCTGATCTAGAATGACGGAAAGGTGCCAACAGAACTCGCAAAGTACTGCAGGCTACACTCCGTTGGTGCAGCCGTTACAAATGCCCTAGTCACAACTTCTTTAGAAGGTGAACGAGGTATCTTGGATTTGCCGTGTTGGTCTGCCATCCACATTGTGATTGTCTTTAAACTGTGAAGGTGCTAAACCTCCAGTTAGTGTCTGGAGAGAACAAACCGATTGCTATTGTTTTGTCCTGTGTACCGCTCACGTGTTAACAGAGCTCTTACAACAAGTAAAGAGACGCAGTCAATCCTGGAAGGTATGTTATTTAAAAAAAAAAAAAACAACGACATGTGGCTATAGGTAGGTCTAGATTTGGCATCGGTGATCTGGTCACCCACTGGCTCGCCGGTAGACGACTTCGTTGCCAATCGGGACAATATTTGGGTCTGTCTCCTTTGATCGCATCAACACTGTAGGAGTCCTTTTTAGGGCTCTTGGTGGCCTGCAATGCTAAGCCATTTTATATGGCACACATAATCTAGTCACAATTATAACCTAAAGCTCCCGCTTCAGGGATGCTAGTTGAACGTGACGATTCCCCCCCCCCCCCACCCCCCCCCCCAGCAAAGCCCCGACCTAGCAAGTACTGGACTTGGGATTGTCCACCTTTTTGTTAAAAACTGTAGCAGCAAAAGCAAACGTGCGAGTTCTCTGGTGAGGAAAAGTCACCGGTATTGGAAGTGACACACATAAAGAAGACTGAATAATATTATTAAACGCCCTTGTATTAGAAACACTATGTGTGTGTATATATAGGGGGGGGGGGGGGGGGGGGTCCTCACACTTACGAAGAAGAGAATTTGATTGACGTAAACAAGACGGGTATAGCTAATAAACGCTCGACTGCGAATCAGAAAGTCGTGAGGTCTTTGTCGGAGCCGGACGTTTTTCAGATATGACGTCGGCTGTCAGGTCGACCCAGCCGTATGTGTAATCATAGGAAGTAAAGGCGACCGGCGTGATGTTGACCACATCACCCACAGACTGATGATAAAAAATAGGTCTAGCCCTATAGTCGGCGTCTGTGGCTAGGGCGTTGCGAACGTGCTTCGTAATGACGGAGTGCTGGGTTCGATCCCAGCTGCGGCCTTTGCGTTGGTTTCGACAGTGGTATCGTGAAGCCGACCGTCCAGTAGCAATGGCAAACTATTGGGCTAGCCCTATATGTCCAGTACGATTGATAGCGTGCAAATGGGTCCTTTACTTTTACTTTAAATAAGACGGGGCTGTCTTGTAAAAGCTTTTCATGACAGTGTAGGAAAGGAAAATATGGCGCCGTCTGATTAAAAGCCTATACTCTTTGATGGATACAGAAGACAACAGGAAAGAGGAGGAGGAGAAAAAGAAGAAGAAGAGGAAGAAGAAGAAGAAGAAGAAGAAGAAGAAGACCAAGAAGAAGAAGAAAAAGAAGAAGATGAAGAAGAAGAAGAAGAAGAAGAAGAAGAAGAAGAAGAAGAAGAAGAAGAAGAAGAAGAAGAAGAAAAAGAAGAAGAAAAAGCAGAAGAGGAAGAAAAAGAAGAAGAAAAAGAAAAAGAAGAAGAAGAAGCAGAAGCAGA